GTCACGGGCCGTTTTCATGTATCAACTAATCTAAATTCTAAAACTACTGCGATTATATATGAGAACCAATCCATTTGCCCCTAAAAAAACTTTGGGGCAGTCAAGGTTGCAAGAAAAAAATCCAGTGGCGTTAGGTTGCAGAATCTGGGCGGCCAATTAAGGTCACCATATCGCGATACTCTATGATCGCTCACGCACACTTTCCTGAATTGCAGCTATATTTGCAAGGGATCTTACGTTTGCCTGATATATAGACACTTTATGATCTGTCACAGAACCAGTTGTTTCGAATTTGTTTATTAAAAGGTGAATTCTGGATTCTGAAGAACGATCGTTAACATCATAAATCTCACGAAACGTTTGCCGAATAGAACATTGGTTTTGATAATAATTGTTCAGTCTTGTAAGGTTCCATAATAAAATGTAGAGACTAACTGAATAAGGCTGCGAAAGATAGCACCTGTGTGACTATTGACTTCGTCGTTCACTAGTGCCAAACATCGAGTATTACTATACGGCAACAATTTTGTTATACTCTACCTTTCCGAGACCGGAACATCCCCTGTGGCGCCAAGCATTAGCGCACTCAATTGATGTTTGATTTGCCTTTACAGCATGATCACAAATTCTACACATACACGTCCGCCATATTTTCTCTCTCCCCTAATGATGACTATACAGACCGGACCACCGTAGTAGTAACATAGGCAGAACCGGACGAATTAGCGTATACCCGTCCGCCGGATAAAAAGCAGGCGAAAAATGCGATAAAATAAAAATAGGTAGATATGTGATAAGAATGTTTCAGAATTCGTATTTATTCGTGTTTTAATAGCCAAAACGAATACATAGATTCTCGCGAGAGTTCTCGTGTAAAATTTATTTTTTAAATAAAATAATGGATGTTTAAGAAGTTCGTGAGAAAATTCAAATTGTAAAATGGTATTTCCAAAATAGGTCTTATCGGGATATACAAACAATTTTTCCACAAACTTTTGTAGACAGGCCAATTCCATCTTTACCTACTGTATCAAGAGTTATCAATAATTTTAAAACACATGGGTGCGTGTTCCCACAAAAACAAAAAAAGCCTCATGTGTTGATTAATGAAGAACAGGCGTTAAAGTAAGTGTTCATTTGTGCTACCGCGGATCAAAATCCCACGTTTTCAAGTAATCAAATTGGTGAGGTGGTTGTCCTGCCCACAATGCCCGTATTGCAAATTTTACTACAACTTTTTGTAGTACTACTCATTACATTTCCATTATCCTCTACAGGGTATTTTTGACTTTTTTTATTTATTTTTTATTTTTTTTTATTTGTGCATTGTTTAGGTTTAGCGCAGAAGTGTTTACAAAAAATAACTATTTTATTTTGTAGATTTTCTTGCAGTGCAGTGGCGAAATACCCATAAAGGATTTTTTTGGAGAGATTTCCATTCGGTTTTGCAATGATTATTTCAATGATTGTTTACAAACATATAAGACTCATTGTTGCAACAAAACCTGAATTTTTCATTAAACTGAATTACAGCAGATACATTTATATCAGTTGATAATAAATTTACCGTGCTACAATTTTGTAACAATATTTTCTGCTCGATTTCATCTTATAGATGAAATTCAGATTGGTTTACGAAGCAGGAAATAAATTTCAAATCGTAATTTTGTCAAGATTAAGCCAGACCAAACGCAGGTTACTTTTAAAACAAAGTTACTGTTTTGTTGAGTGACGTATAAGTTAAGGCGACAGATTTTGGTTCTACTTGGACATATTTTGCCCTATCCTAAATCAAAACATAGTTTCCCGCAAGCGATTTACCGTTGTTTACCGGTGATAGGAGGGCTTTATCTTTACCGATCCGCCTGGGCACCTCATCCGTTATTATATCTATGGAAGATATGTTATTAACTTATAATTAATTAAACATATATTAAATTATGAACTGTTTTCTTTAAACGGAGTTTAGAAAAATGCACCAGTTTTCATAATATTAAGAAGAATTCTCTCAGTTACCTCGGAATATCTGAAAAATGAATTAATTCTAGCCTGTACTAATGCCGATTCTATCCCGACGGATAATCCTCGACTCTTTGTACCGTTATTATCGCGAAAAGTGTCCTCGACACCCAGGGCCATTGTTTCTAAACTAAAAAGCCCGTGCTGTAAATTGAACGAATAAAAGAAAGAAAGTAGTACGGTGCGGGACAATTACTGCCCTCGGTTATTTGTAAGACATTTCACTCGTAATCCGCGCCACCGCTAGAGTTTTGTCGGAATTATGAAAGCTTAAAGCATTTTACTTTGTCTTTTTTTAACAGCTGCATGATTCAAAAAACGGTCGAAAATTTTAATTGCAAATAATAATGTACTTTTCCGTTAATCAGTTACATTATTCGTGTATTTCAAAGAAGCCTATCATGGTATCTAAAAGGTGCGTACGGAAATAAAGTGACCAATGAGGTATATTATCAGAGTACGAATTGATCTTATACCGGTTCGTCTTGGAAGAGGCTTCCTCCTATAACTTTTCTATTTTTTTCAGATAAAATCGAGATTTGGTATATTAGTATACAACATAAATTAGGATTAATTGACGTATTCAATTGTTTTTGGTCACTTCCTGTCTCACCGGAAATTACTACAACTTTTGATTTTTAAATGGCACCCTCGGCATAGTTCTACTTTATTCGCTGGAATATTCACTTCACTTAAGGAAAAAATATATTTTTAAAATTTCAATTTAGTGCCATGGATGTGTTAAAAACACTAATTTTTGAACAAGGAGCCCTGGAAAAATAGATTTGATCTAATGTTTTTCGTGTCTTGTCCTGGCCGTTTAAAAGATGCTGAAGTCGTATTTTTGATCATATCTCAATTTTTTTAAATGGAACAAGAGTGGCTCATTAACATACTTGGAAAACGCATTTTTTTGCGAATAATTTGGTACCACACACTTGGTATTGCGAGTCAAAAATTGTCGTTAAAACCCAAATGTTACAATTTACAATTTCAAATAAATCATATGCGAAAATGTCAAAAGTTGAGAAGAATGTCATTTTCTATCGAATAAAGTAGAGATATACCGGGGGTGTCATTTAAAAATCAATAGTTGTAGTCATTTCCAAACAGGAAGTAACCAAAAACAATTGAATACGTCAATCAATCCTAATTTACGTAATATACTAACATACAAAATTTCGTTTTTTTATCAGAAAAAAACAAAAAGTTATAGGGGTGAGCCACTTTTGAGGCGCACCCGTCATATTACTATCTCAAAATGATTTAATAGACTAAATAAAACTTCGAGAGAGTCCAGTAATTTAATACTTTGTAGCTACCTAGACTTTTGTAGTACTCTTAGTAACAGTCGCTAATCGTAGTAATATTTTCTAAAAAATGTTAGTAAAAGCTATTTTATTGTACAATATACGATAGAGGGCGCGTTGGTGGAAGCTGGAAGAGATATAACAATTAAGAACCTTTCATATTTTAACTGATCCAGTCAGATGACTTGACTTAAAATTTTAAGAAAACGATTACAAAACAGAAATACCAAAATTATAATAATATTTGCCTTTATACCTAACCTAAAGAAACATTAAGGGTCTGTCCGCTACCGGTTAACTGAGTATCAATCGACATGAAGTTACGCGAATGGGGTTTGATTGGTTTTGTTTCAATTTTTTTTACGAATTATGGAAGTTTCTTTTTATTTTAATACGACTTTGATTTGTTTTGAATGTCTGGAATGTCTTTAAAATTTAGTGTATCATGTCAGATTTTCATTAAGCTGCTGTATCGTAATTTCCGGATAGTTAGATAAGGTCAACTGCTAGAAGATAGAAAGTAAAGCTAAAGGCGGGTTCTTATTAGTCGATTTTATTGATCAATATCATTGAATCTATGTCACTGAAATAAAACAGATTAATGTGAACATTATTTCAACCATATTGTTCAATGTTTTCGCATTTCTAGAAAATTGGAAGCCATTTCTACTTTTGGTAGACCAATCGTATCGATTCAATGAAATTGAATAGTGCTTGCCCGTGAGAACAAGCTGAAACAAGTGTTCAGTCGCATCGAAGTGTTTTTCGGTGTGTGTTTCTGTTGAAATAAGTAAATCAAAATGTCGTTTAAACGGAGGGATCTCCATGTGGCAAAATTACTGGAGTTATATCAGGCAGAGGAATGTTTATGGAGCTTCAAATGTGAAAATTATAAAAATATAACGCTACGGGAAAAAAGTTATGAAAATATTCGCGTTTGGAAATGGACATACAATCTTTAACTTTGAATTTTGAGTTACTTTAGTTTGCAATTATACAATTTAAGATATAATAAAGCATTGTGTCAAGTTTTCTTCTCCAGCTTGTCTAATTTTAATTAAGTAACATTAACTCCCATTTTCTCCATAATTTTCTTCTAGGACTTGATCCAGTTCTCTTCTGAACCCCTCTTATAGGCCTATTTGTATTAAAGATCAGTTTTATTACACACATTTTTTTTGGTAAATCCAAATAGTTTTAGTGATTCGTCAACTTAATGATTATAGACAAACGCAATAACTATATTACAGAATCAGTTTTGATAGCTATTTAAATCCGATTTCTTAGTTTAAGGTTATATTTATTAAAACATTTAACACTTTTGACCTCGAAAGTATTGGCTAATTAAAATGGGAGAAATATATTTTAGATATATCGTAAAGTTATTAACATCCGACGTTAATGATTTTCTTTCAACAAACAACTTAAAGCTTTACTATTAATTTGAATAAAAAATTATTAGGACTTTATTTCTGGAAAAAATAGTTTTTCTTGTTTTTCGATTTCCCATCTATTTATTTACTGCAATTTATCTTTTCAGCTTCGACGCCAGAGAGAAACCGTTGAAGGAGGGCAAACATTGGATGGATGAGAATTATGTGGGTCAAAGAGCACAGTTCCGGTATCAAGATCGTCCCGCAATATTAATATTGGACGCTGTGAGAGACAGTGACGGGGGCGTGTATTTTTGCCGAGTCGATTTCAGACAAACTCCCACCAGGAATATAAAAGTCAATTTGACAGTCATAGGTAAGTCCAAATAAACTAGTCAGATATTTTCTACAATTCCAATCAATGACAGTCATTTTGCATTTCATTTAATTGTAAAATTTTTGAAACTCCTAAAAAGATTGTTATTTTCCATTTTTTTTTGCTTCGTAAAATTTTAGTATTAATTGATATTATTGATAAATTTCTTCTCCTCTACAAAATGACAATGTCATTTCTCAATCTAACGTTTGGGATTAGAGACACCATTGTCAACTTTCTTGATTGAAATATGAACCTCATTTTCTTTATTTCGCTATTCTATAAGTTATACAGGGTTGTTCACCACATACGACACGGAGTATTGTAGCTAAACGGTTAGATTTTTACAAATTGTAAGTTTTGGGTTCGTTGAAGGACTATTAGGGCTACAATTTAAAAATAATTTTACAAGATACACAGTGTCCCAAATAAGTAAAAAATATTATAGTTGTATTTTTTAAAATAGAACACCCTGTATATTATTTTATTTTTAGATTCTACGATTGAAATAAAGGTAAATTTTATTAAGGTTTATCACGCTTAAACCTTACCGTTTTTGATATATTTCCAGTTTTATGAAATTGCAGTAAAAATTTTAAGCCTTCATTTCTCCAAGGGTATTTAGAATTAGAATGAATTAGAATGAGTGGGAGGGGGGTTAATCACTGCGACCTTACAGATCCATTGTGTCCCCCTTTCTTGAGTCATAACTCATCATACAGTCCCAGGGCTTTGACAAAAGCCAGTATCTGGGACGGTTTTATAGAGGGTAGTTCTCCATCTCCAATATCAGTCGTACCCAAATTCATGGCACGAATTTCTCCAAGGGTATCGACATTTTTTATACTAAATATCTACTGAAGTTTATTTATTGATCAGATATTGTGTTGCAATAATAAACAAAATTCTACCTTATACAGAGTGTCTAAAAATTTATATTAAATAATTACTAGCTTTAAACGGCAATAACTTGTTTAATTTAAATAGAACACCCTATATATTTTACGAGAATCAGACGCACAATTTAATTGTCTATCAAATTGTATTATACCATTTTTACCTATCTCTTCAAGTTTTCGAAAAAAAATGAATTTTCTAATAATTTATCACTATATTACCTTATTTATCACTATACCCATGGAATATTGACATTTTAGATTATTTTTAAAGATGTAACAAATTTTCAAAAAGCACAGATACTAATATTGTCGATATATGTCTCTTATTTCATTAAAAGATAAACTCAATATGATTCCAGTATCAGTATTCAAACTACATTAATTGACTGTTTACGTTGATTAATAATAATTGCTCCAAATTTTTTAGACAATGTGGTAAAAAGTAACACCTTATAAATTTTATTTCATTTTGTAACGAATGTTTATTTATAACAAGAGAGACGTTCATTTTCATAACTTATTATCGTATTGATTTCTGAGTCAAATCCACATTTATTTAGAATAATTTATTAATGAAAACAATTAAGTGTGTAATTAACTAATTTTTGGTCGGAAATAATGGTGGTATGTTAATAATTAGTAATATAATTGGTATATTATTTTACAAAGATTTAAATAGTTTTCTTTTTGTAAACAAATGGGCTTGCAATATTATTATTTTTGCCACCTGTACATTTTGTACATATGTTACTTTAAAAAAATCTAAATTGTCAATATTCCATGGGTATAGTGATAAATGAGTTCTAAATTATAATAAAATGCATTTTCTACGAAAACTTGAAGAGATAGGTAAAAAATGGTATAATTCAATTTGATAGACAATTACATTGTGCATCTTATTCGCGTAAAATATACAGGGTGTTCCATTTAAATTAAACAACTTATTGCCGTTTAAAGCTAGTAATTATTTAATATAAATTTTTAGACACTCTGTATAAGGTAGTATAATTTTTATTATTACAACACAATATCTGATCAATAAATAATATTCAGTAGATATTTAGTATTAAAACCTTTAATACCCTTGGAGAAATGAAACCCTAAATTTTTTACTGCAATTTCACAAAATTGAAAATATTTCAAAAACGGTAAGGTTTAAGTGTGATAAACCTTAATCAAATTTACCTTTATTTCAATCGTAGAATCTAAAAATGAAATAATATATAGGGTGTTCCATTTAAAAAAATACAACTATAATATTTTTTACTTATTTGGGACATTCTGTATCTTGTAAAAGTATTTTTAAATTGTGGCTCTAATAGTCCTTCAACGAACCCAAAATTTACAATTTGTAAAAATCTAATCGTTTAGCTACAATACTCCGTGTCGTATGTGGTGAACAACCTTGTATACAAAATATTACATGGTTTATAAACATCATCATAGCCTGAAAATATTTTAGTTTAATTTATAATTTAGAGTGTCCTAAAAAAGCATTGATAAAGTTATAAGTTGTAAGCATTTAAATTGTAACATCCATCTTTATGTACACAATAGGGAGTCAGCATAACATTCTGCATAGGGCACTATATTAATTCTTGATGTTGCCATTATCTTATTTACTGAAAATTACATCCGAAAAGTGCTTAAAAACCCACAATGAATTTACCTTTATTAACACTTAGCTATATTTTCTTAACCGTCAAAGATAATAGAATACTAAAAAATATCTATACCTATGTGGCGGATTCATCTCTTCAAAAAAATCCTTTATGGGTATTTCGCCACTGCACTGCAAGAAAAATCTACAAAATAAAATAGTTATTTTTTTTATAAACACTTCTGGCGTTAAACCTAAATGGACGCTACTTGTCAGAAGTTATGTTTACAGTTATAAAAATTTACCTAACAAAGAAAAAAATGCTTAACGTTTCGGAAAGTTTTCTCTTTCCGTCGTCGGAAGCAAAAAAATATGAAGAATAAAGAAAAAAAATATTTAAAATATTTAAATTGAACTATTAGTAAAGTGTTTTATGCTCTTTCATTTAATATTTAAAAATGAATCTGCCCATATTACTCGAACAAATATATTTGAAAATGTTGACATGTCTCTACTACTTTTTTTACGTATTTACGTGTGGTTATAATTTTTTTCCTGCATTTTATTTACCGCGTGTAATTAATAAGGCTATTAACCGCACGTGTGTATCGTGTATTTTCGCCATAATATAACAGGCCGTAGGCAAAATATATTATGAATATTGTATAACATAATTACACTGTCCATAACAGATATTGGCCACAACGATAAAATAAATCATATTATTTATTAATACATTACGTCAAAAATTAATTTTTAAAATTAATTTAAATATTGATTTTTTTTATTGCCTTTATTTTATTAGTCGCGTTTTGATTGTTATTCCACTCACAAACGGTTTCAGATATAACAAAAACTACAATACAATTGGTTCAACTATTAACCTCCAAAGCCCTTGAATTGGCTATAAAAAACATAATTATTTTCAATCATGACATACAGGGTTTCTCACCGTAGCCGTTCATTAGAAGTTTTTGAGGTTAGGAAAGACTTAGGGTTATTTAAAAGTTCCTTCCATTTAAAAATATTTTCAAGGTCACACCACTTCCGGTTACACCGGAAGTCGCCATTAACTTCCTTATTTTAAATGGAACACCGTGTATATTATTTTACTTTTGGATTTCTAAGAAAATTTTATGATGAGCTTTATTACGTTTCCCTATATCTATTTTCAACTGTTTCTCAGATATCTTGATTTATTTGAAAATTTTTACAGATTTACCCCTATCTTTAACAGTGGATCTTTTACTCATTTTGAATCGGTGATAAACGCTTCTGCGGTAAACCGAAGCAGAGGACTAATACTTTCGAAGTCCATATTGGCAACAAATTTATTGCATACAGGGTGTCCAAAATTTGATAACTGATTAGATTATTTTCAAACTCAAAAAAATTCATTTTTTCAAATGAAACACCCTTTATATTTTTCGATAGTTGGATGCAGAATTCAATTCTGCATCGATTTGCTATAACTTACCCTATGCCCATTTTCAACGGTTTTCTTGTTAATCCGTATTTTTTACTCAGCAGTTGACATTAATGTTTCAAGATCGCTGGATTGGTCCACAAAGACCCTGGAACTGGCCGCCACGATCACCCGATTTAACGCCCCTCGATTTTTACCTCTAGGGGCGTATAAAAGAGCTCGTGTACTCTACGTCTGTACGTACTAGGGACGAGTTATTAAACCGTGCTAACCATGTAAGCTTACTTAATCACATGCCCAGACAAAATCACGGAGGTTCACAGAGAAACACATTGCAGAGCTTTCAATGTTTCACACACAAACATAGCGGTCACTTCGACACAATAATTTTGTAATATAGTAGGTTAGGGCACAGCGCATGGGTCAGATACATAACAGTTGATTAAACAGCAGCGAACTGGCTTATATGAGAGCTGTGTACTTCTACGTCTGTACGTACTAGGGAGAGTGCATTGCAGAGCTTTCAATGTTTCAACTTAAATAGCGGTCCTTCAGACAATAATTTTTGTAATTATAGTAGAGAGTGCAGAAGGGGGTTTCACCATCAGTGGAGGGTGGAGGGGCGCACAGCGCATGCGCTTCTGAAATCAGCTAGGAACATGTAAAATAGGCTAATAAACAAAGAATAAACGGGTTTGAAACTGCTTTGAACAGCTTTTGAACAGCTTTGAACGGGTTTGAATAAAAACTGAACAGGTCTGTTGTTTTACGCTAAAAAGCCGTTCAAAGCTGTTCAAAAGCGGTTCAAAGCAGTTCAAACCCGTTTATTCTTGTTTATTAGCCTATTTTACATGTTCCTAGCTGATTTACGCGCATGCGCTGTGCGCTCCCTCCACCCTCCACTGATGGTGAAACCCCCTTCTACCTCTACTAATTATTGTGTTTACTTTTTTTATTACGGTAAGGATACACTAACGTCTAGTGTTAATAATTAATGCCTCACCGTTACTGTTATACGTTTGCTTTGTTATGTTATGTTATATTTTATATGATTTCACTTTTGTTTTGATCCTGT